ACATCATTAGTTTTTGATGTAGTGTTCCATGATCCATTATTTGCATATAACACCCAGTGCTCCATGAAGAACGTGCCCTCTTTAATACCCATCACCAGGCTAACCCATCCTCCCACCCCCCTCCCCTCTAGAACCCTCAGATTGTTTTTCAGAGTCCATCGTCTCTCATGGTTCATCTCCTCCTCTGATTTCCCCCCCCTTCATTCTTCCCCTCCAAGCAGGGGCCTTTTTTGGGTGACTCAAGACCAGTAACATTCCATGCAGCACTTGGCCCAGGGCAGATCTCTAGATACACAGATGCTCCAGCCACTGTCCTTCTCCCCAGTTTGCAAGCTGCTTCAGCTGACTTCCCACTGCCTCAATCTTCATTTAACTCTTGAACTCTCAAATAAAATTGCCCTATTGTCTCCTTCCCACTCTCCTCTAGCAGCATTATAGGAAGTCTTTGGGTGTTTGCAGCTCAGCAAGCATCCAACCAGGAAATGAGATGTCAGTCTCCCATCATACAAACAACCCCACTTTTTGTGAACTGTTCTCAAGGGGTCTCTCACTTGGCTGAGGTAGGAAGCACCATCATGAAACAGTGCAGGGCTCCCTATCAAATAGATTCTTTTTCCAACCAGTCCCCTTTACATTTCTAGTTCTGACAGCCACTGTGCCAGTTCACAGTGCCTAGGTTAGTGAGTCTTGGAGAGATGTGCCTGACTCCTCTCTTTGGAACGTGTGGGCACTTAAAACCCATGTTCTCTAGTTCTGAGGCTTCAGCCAAAAGTCGGACATAAGAAAATTTCTACTTAACAGCCTGTAATAGGTTTGTGAATATATGTGTCATCATTCAATTTCCTCCAGAAGCCGACCCTGAGACAAAAAATCTGACTGGAAATAATTTATTTTGGAGATAATTCTAAGAAACAGAGACAAGGAGTGGAGAAGCAAAACAGGGAAGGAATGGCAGCCCCAAAGAGCTTGCTATCAGGAATGTTCCATTGTGGATCACTAAAGCTTAGTCCCACTGGGAAACTCTCAGATCATCTGTGGAACACATACCTCAGAGGGATCTGGGAATCTGGGGGGAAGTCTCAGCCTTCTGTAGGTTTTGCAGGGCAGCAGTTTCCATGGTATTGCCATTTTCCTGACATGCCCTGTTTTCTCACCCTCCTCTGCAGACCTGGAGTCTACCCCACACCACTCCCACCTTCCCTTCCTGACTGGCTGATGAACTCTGCTAGAGTAGATGGAGTATATTTCCTTTCACCATTGATGTTGGGATTGACCATGTAATTTGTTGTAGGCAAATATGCATGTACCACAGTGCTTGACACGTAGTAAGCATTTATATATGTAAATGAAATTAATTAATGAGTTTTGAGAGAAAACCTCAATTCAGTACCTGTATTGCTAGGGGGTTAGTTTGACCTATATGCCATTCGTTTGTTTGCTTTCTGGTTCTTTGCTCTGTTCTGTATCATTGGAGGGACTCTTCCTTGCAAACCATATTGCTCAGGCTTCCCTGTCAGTCATACCCAGGTATGTTCAGCCAATAAGAGGCACAGGCACTGAAAGAAAAGAGAAGCCAAGAGAGTTCTCCCCATTTCTCTCCTTGGGAAGAGGAGGCTGCATTGGCAGCAGTGGCTGATTCTCCTCTGTGTTTCCGGCTCTTACCAGACAACCCTTCTTCCATGGCCCCAAATTCCACCTTCCTAGCCTGTGGAATTTCCCACTCTTACCAAGTGGCTCAGGCTTCTGGGCTCCAGTGAGGATACAACATTTCTTTATCCTTCCATTCCCTAGGGGTGTAGCAGCTGCCTGCATTTACTAATCTCTGCGCTTCCTCTTGTTCCCCTATTTGCTCTTTCAGGTTTTCTAATCCCTGTGTATTATTTCCTTTATTAAATTCCTTATAGTGGTTTCATTTTCCTGGCTGGACCCTCATGGATAATCTATTTCAGGAGCCATGTACAAAACCATGCTTTTTTCAAGACCCTGCTTCCTAAAGGAGATCTGTTTTCCTCCTTAATTTTTCTTTGAGAGCATTCCTGACAAATGCTCTTCCTCATGGCTTCTCTTCTTTTCCTAGGATAATAGTATTTTATACTACTTGAGATAAGATTACATTCGAAACATTATCAGTAATCAAAAAGCTAAGTCTGCCCAATATTGTAAAGATGTCAGCTGCTCCCAAATTGATCCATAGATTTAAAGCAACTCTTCTAAAAATCCTAACAGGTGTGTCACATGGCAATTGGCAACTGATTCTAAAATTTATATGAAAATGCAAAGGCCAAGAATAACCAATGCCCTCCAGAAGTAAAACAGTATGGGAAGACCTTTTTCACCAGATATCAAGACTTATTAAAAAGCTGTGGTGTAGAGAAAGTGTGGTACTGCTCCAAGGATAAAAAAATAGACCAATGAGACAGAATAGATCAGTATTCTGGAAGAGTCTAGAAACATACCTATGCACATATGAACTCTAGGATTGTTTTTTTATTTTTTTTCAGTGACACTACACAGTAGGCGAGAAAGGATGGTCACTTCAATAAAAAATTCTCAGGACAATGAAGTGGCAGTGTGGTAAAAAGTGTGACTGTACCCTTAACTCATGCCAGGTTTCTTCTAAGCTCCGGTTCCTAAGGAAAATATTGGTTTTCCTCTGTCATCCTGCTTTGAAATAATTCCCTGGAAATGCTCCTTCCAAAAGCTTTTTTTTCCCCCCTGGTATATGGAGATCTAAGTACGAGAGGCAAAATAATAAAAAGTTTGTAAAATAATGAGAATGAAGAAAGGTCTGTCTGTATATAGGAACTGGCTGTGGGTCAATTCACAATAATGAAAAGACTTTTCTTGATGAGTAATAAACACAGCCCAAGTCCTGTCTGCGAAGCCACGAGATGACATTAACATTTTTAACCCTGTGCTTTACAAGAGAGCAAGACAAAAGGGAAATTGCTGAAACATTGGAATGTAGATGCTCCTGGAAGGTGCCAATTTCTAAGTACTATTGGCAATCAGTGTATTTTAAACAGCAGTTGGAACCGCAAAAATAGTTCAAGAATTTCCCCCAGATCAGCAACCAAGGAAGGGCCGGCCTTCCCTTAACATCTTCTTTTCTGTACCCACTTCTTTCCAGAGGTTTTATACAGATTCTCTTGTGCCAAGAACGTTCTTTTCTGTTTGTTTTAAAATAATATCAGATTTTAGAAAAATCCAAAATAGTATTAAAAATTCCCATATACCTTTCACCCCAGTTTCCCAAATGTTGCCCTGTTTGCTTTAATATTCCCTCTTTTCCTCTCTCTAACTCTATCTCTATTTTCTTCTAAAACATTTGGGGGTAAGTTGTACATATGACACCCTTTTATCTCTAGCTACTTCAACGTGCATTTCCTAAAAACAAAGATATTCTCTTACATAATCACAGTACAATTCTCAAGATCGGGAAATTAACATTGATACAATATTTATTATGTAATCTACAGATCTTGTTCAAATTTTACCAGTTGTCCCACTGATATCCTTTTCAAGACTATTCTTTTAAATATTCTGTGGCCATGGTCTTGGTGAAATAATTCCCAGCCTCTTTAAAAAGATGTAGTGTATGCATAAGGATTTGAGCCTCATTGATTTTCAGGAAAAAGACACTGAAACTTCTGTTTAGCTGTGCATGAAGATATCTGCCTTTCCTAAAAAAGACCCCAAATGAAGTTTCACTCTATTCCCCAAAACCTATGTTATGAGAGAAGATTCTGGATGGTTTCTCTTTGGTGTAGAGACTTGCCTGCTTTTTTTTCCTGATTCCTCATCAGACTGAGAGAACTCACATTAAAAATATCCTGGAAGATGTTTTCACCTTCCTCTCACACATAACGAAATATCTTCCTATTTCAATTTTAAAGCAAGACAGGATGCACAGTGCTTATGTGATGTACTAGATTCTACAAGCAGGTTATTCCATTACCTGACACTAGGGCTCTGTTATAAAGGAGTAATTAAAGGCCAAAGGGTAACAACCTAAATAAATGCCTATCACAAAGCGGACTGGTTAAATAAATTCTAGTTAATACAGTCAGTGTAATAACAGAGCAGCCATTCAAAAGAAGATGCAGCTATGTATGTTTCAAAATAAATTAAGCCTAAACAACAGAAAGTGGTTAAGTAGTATAGACTCTGCAAAGGGTAATTAGAGAACTTGAGGAAATAGAAGTAGAAGGGAGACATTTATAGTAAACCCTTTTGTACCATCTGGCTTAAAAACTGTTTACCACATGTATATGTTGTGTTCAGAGAGAGAAAGAAAATCTCGAATAGTACATAGGTAGGTAGGTAGGTAGACGAATTTAAGACTAAAAATTTGAAGGAACAGCAGACTCCATATTCTCCAGCTGCACCTTTTATTTTTAAAGCCATCATTGCTTTTTCCATGTCCCCCCACCGTTTAGTCCTCTTTAGTTAGAAGGAGTCTTATTCTCGGCTAGATAGTGAAGACACAAACCAGCCTTAGTCCTAGATGTACTTTCAACAAAACCGCACAAAATACGCAACCTCCAACACGTTTTCAGGTTTGGAGGTGGGGTGGAGTGAGATGAGGAACAAGCTTTGGGCAATCTAAGAGGGGCCTCCGTCTCTCCCCTAGCGTTAGATTTGCACTACCTTCCCTCACCCCTTCATTCCTACGTCCGCCTTACTGCCCACTCCTGCTCCAGACCCCAAGCGCCCAGGAGACTGGACTCGCTTAAATTTCCTCCTACCTGCGCCGCGGCCCGGGGGCGGGGGTGGGGTGGGGAAGGGGGGACTCGTGACGTCAGGGCTGAGCGAGGGGGCGCCGCCTCCTGGGTTCCCACCCCTCCTGGCCCTGCGGCCCGGCTTGCCCTTTAAAAGAGCGGGGCCTGCGCCAACCGCGCCACACCGCGGGGACCTGGACACACAGATGCTTTCCCGGAGCATCTTTATCTCGCCTTCTGCCCGCATCTCACTCACCTGTCCAGCCGCCATCCTCTTCTCCGTGCAGATTCGGCCGAGCGGAGCCATGCAGCCGGCGGTGTTTCTCGGCCTCCTAGGAGCGGCGGTGGTGGCCGGTGAGTGGGCTCGGCCGGCTGTTCAGCACCGCGGACAGCGCTGGCCTCGGTGTTCCTGGCCGCTGGGGAACCTTGGCTTGTAGATACTGGAGGAGAGGAAGGGTTGAGTGGAAGGTTTCTCCTTCTTGCTTGAGATTCTTAATTTCTGAAACTCCCTGCTTCATCGTCTGACTTGGAAAAAGCCAGAGGGCTTCCTAGCCCAACCAGAAGAGTCTCAGTCTTTTCATATCTGAGTTTTCCTGTAGAGAAAAACGTGCCTGCGCCTCCAAGGAAACCCCACATTTTGTGCTCACTTCTAAAATGTCATGCTCTCTCTACCTATCTAGAGAGATGCTGCTAAAATCTTAATATGTAACTGGAATTAAGTATTCGTTTGGTTTTTTTAAAGCCAGAGAACTATGGAGACACAAGAGTACATGTATTATGATATTAGTTGGCACCTGCATAATTTCCTTTATTATCATTATTATTTAAACATGATGAGATGAAAATAAGTCTTATATGTATATAAGATATCATATCTTTTTCTTAACATGTTCCTCTATATGTGTGTCTTTACGTATATGTATGTAATTTTTTTTTGTATTTTATAGTTCCATTTCTGGGGAGAGGTAATTTCATACCCAAATTCATCCATTTTTAAGTTATGAATGGAAACTGCAGTAGATATTTTGACTTTTGTACTCCAGGAAAATAACAATTATAAAACAACCACAAAGATATCCTTGAAGAAGTAAAAACAAAACAAACAAAAAAAACAAACATCATTTTAGTCAATTTGGGAGAATGAAATTTTAAGTAGTAGATATTTAACAGTGTCTCTTTATGTGTGGAAGGCTGTAGGATTAATCTTTCAAACTACTATGAATCTTGAAGAAATGGTCTCTGGAGATTTGGAAAAGTGTGTGTGTGTGTGTGTGCGTGTGTGTGTGCGTGTGTGTGTGTGAGTGTGTGTTGAAGTAAAATCACTAGACCATTGGGAAGTAAATATGCTACCACCAGATTGAACTGGAGGTTTTGTTACTGTTTTAATAACCTCATAGGATATTGTTCTTATCTGAGATTGAGATCCCTAACTGGAATTGAGGTACTGCCAACCAGGAATATCAAGTTTTCATTGACAGCAATTGCTGGATCCCAAATATAAAGATACAAAAAGAAAACCAATGGTAATTTATTTTATTGCAAGCTACCCACATTCAGAATTTTCTAACATTTTTTAAAAAGATCTTATTTATTTATTTGACAGAGAGAGACACAGCAGGAGAGGGAATACAAGCAGGGGGAGTGGGAGAGGGAGAAGCAGGCCTCCTGCGGAGCAGGGAGCCCGACTCAGGGCTCAATCCCAGGACCCTGGGATCGTTTAACGACGGAGCCACCCAGAGGCTCCCAGAATTTTCTAACATTCTTGTCACTCTTCTAAATTGCCCATAAATGTTCTTAATTTAAAAGAAAACTAAATGAATATTTAGAGTCTTTTCCAGTCAAAAATATTTTCAGAAAGAAACTGCTTAAAATGCTACATAGCTATGCTATACATTGTGCTTTAGACTACAAAACAGTGTCATTGTGAGACTTATTTTACTATAGTGGTAAAATATTTATAGCTCCTTTATGCAAGAGAATATTTTAAGAAGGGTTCATATTTTAATATTGGCTAAATTAGAGACATTATTTTTTGAGACATTATAGTCTTTAAAAAATTATTAAGCAATAATTCACACACCATAAAATGCACACTAAGTGCATAATTTAGTATATTCACAGATTCTGTAATCATTATCAAATGTCAGAAGTTTTCCGTTACCCCAGAAAGAAACACCTATGCCTGTTAGCAGTCATTTCCCATTCCCACCCTCCACAAATGCCTGGAAATGAAACATGGTAGCCTTCAAGCAAAGTTTGCTATTTAGCAAAATCACAGGCTGAAGAAAACCTCAGGAAAACATCTGGTTCATTTCCTACCCTTAAGAGCTTCTGAAGGGAGATCCATACCTTTCTACAGTAGCTACTGGGCACTCTGAAAAATTAGTATGAGTGAAGTAGCTCTGTGATATCCATATTATACTGGGTAAAATAGTTTCTGCATTCAGATGAGTAGTTTAACTTTTTAAACTATAGCTGCATTTTTATTCTAGAATCAAATCTTAGTTTGATAGTCTTGTGATATATAATATTCTGGAAGTTTTTCTCAGGTTTACCATACAATATAATTTGAAGATTTTCTACCATCTGACTATTTCACTTTTATCATAATCTTTGGGTTTTCTTTGGTGCCTTCTGAATCTTAATTTATACAAAAATAAGTTAAGCTACTTTAGGGGAATCAACGTGTCTTTGGGTTATTACTTTGCTGTCACAGATTCTATTGGAAGAAATACAGGGGAACTTCGGTGTCTCACTAAGATGCGTAATGCACTTTTATAAGGAGACCTCAGCTCCTTTCTATCAAAAACAGGTCTGAAGAGCGTCAGTCAGAGAAACAGGACTGTCCTGCAATAACAAACATGAGCTATAAATTGTTTAGAGTGATAAAGAAAATATTTCTCGGAACGCCTGGGTGGCTCAGTCGGTTAAGCATCTGCCTTCTGCTCAGGTCATGACCCCAGAGTCCTGGGATTGAGTCCCACATCAGGCTCCTCTCTTGCTCCTCTGTCTGCCACTTCCCCTGCTTGTGCTTGTGTGCTCTCTCTCTTTCTGACAAATAAATAAAAAAAAAATTTAAAAATTAAAAAAAAAAGAAATCTCCGCCCAGATCTGATAACTGTTAATAGTTAGGCAATGTCAGTAGTTAATAAAAGTACCTACTTTACATTTGTGGGGGGGGTAAGTTATTAGCAAGAAACTGCATTACAAAGGTTTTAGTAAAGCTAGATTTTAAAAAGGCACCTTCTAGCTTATTAGAGGAGTAATTCTCTCAGTTATTTCTTTCCACAGAATTTTACAGATTCAGGTGCAAAGAATAAGTGCCAGAGTGGGAATGTTTCCAAATAATAGCCATTTGGGGGATAAAATAATGGCCCAGCATACTGGACCCTGGGTGCCAAAGGCAGGCCATCTGGATCTTGTTTGAACTAAATTTCAGGAAGATCGTGGGGTCTTCTTACCTTGTTAACCACTTCTCAAACAGTTTACACATGATTTCATCATGCTGGATAGCTTTGGGCTTCTTGAAACAATTGAAGTAGATCCCAGGCCATGCTTTAAAAAGGAAAATTCAGTAAGGTGAATACATGAAATAGGTGTTTTATTTCAAGATTGAGCCCTATGATCTGTAATTGGTTAGAGGCAGGCAGTTAAGAAGGCTTGGAGAGCAAATATTTTGTGAGGAGAGGTCAGGTTGCTGGTTAAAAATAAACTGCATTTGAGTAGCTTTCATCTCTGATGTCTGAGAGTTTTGCTCTTGCTCCAGCTAGCTCTTCTCTTGCTCAGGGATCTAGAAGAATTTTCTGCACTGAGCTTCTTCAGCTATAATAGCAATTGTCTACTTCAGGGAATGCCAGGAGAACTGTAGAGATGGGCCTACATGTAAATGCTTTAGCTTCTCCAATGGAAAGGGCTTAGACAGAACAAAGTCAAAGTGAAAGATGAAAGAATCAAAGCAGCTTTGAAAGAAAAAAATGGCTTTGGAAAATTAAAAGCACCTGAAACATCTCCTAAGAAGACAAAGGCATTTGAATTGCTGGTTTAAAACAAGCAGAGCCTCGTGAAATTTAATTTGAATAAATTAAAATTTATTCTTTTAAAATATCCTCATTAGCCAGCTGTTAAACACCATTTGTACATGATATTACAGACTTGATGCTGTACTAGTAGAATGAGATCACTCCCCTGCTCTTTACACATGGCTGCAGACAATGTGGGGAAAGGGAAATGCAACTCTGTTAGAGATGCGTAAGCAACCTTGTTCAGGCAAAGGACTGGGGGTAAAAATGAGGTTAAGTGATATACGATAATCACAATCATGTCTTCAAAAATAAAGTGAGTTTTGGGAGGGATATTTTCTTGGGGACAGGAATAGGTAGAGGGAATCACAAATCTTTACCCATTTTGGGTAGGCAGAAGAGTTGAGGAAGGTACCCTGGTTTCATTTAAACTAGGTTTTAAACTTTTTATTTACATTTAGAAAACTGCACAGATCATAGTATACAGCTTAATGAATTTTTCACTCATTGAGCACATCTGTGTAATCAGTACCCTGATCAAGAAACAACGCTGCCAGGGCACCTGGGTGGATCAGTTGGTTGAGGGTCCAACTCTTGGTTTTGGCTCAGGTCATGATCTCAGGGTCATAGGACCCAGCCACGCTTTGGGCTCCATGCTTAGCGGGGAGTCTGCTTGAGATTCTCTCCCTCTCCTTCTACCCCTCCCCCACTTGTTCCCTCTCTCGCTCTCAAATAAATAAATCTTAAAAAAAAAAAAAGAAAAAGAAAGAAACTGAACATTGCCAGTATCTCAGAAGCTGTCTTTGTGGTGTGGATTTGAATTACACTGCATATTAGACAGTATTCATTTCCAAATCACGTTTAAGACATTGCTAGGGACAACAGCTGTGTGTGTATGTGTGTGTGTGTGTGTGTGTGTGTGAGAGAGAGAGAGAGAGAGAGAGAGCGAGCACTGGGGCAATAATGGCTCCTGGACCAATCTTCTTCAACTATCTCCATTCTGCTCAGCTGTGACTTTGCCCCTCTTTCCATATAACGTGCAGGGGGTGGAGGTGATTTTGTGAGTTTGGGGTCACACAGCTCCCAAAAATCAACTAAAGTCTTCCCATTTATTTTTCTCCTTCAAAGCAGTCAGTTCTGTGCCAGTGGATAACAGGAACCACAATGAAGAAATGGTAAGTTGAATTGGAAGTCTAGAATCTAGACTTTTATCTAGACTCTAGGTTCTCCCACTCCTTATCATATTAAACCAAACCGAACAAAAACAAATGACAGCAACAGGAAACCTACAACATAGTCTTACAAAGCTAGGTTTTCATCCCTAAGGGGACGGGGGCAGAGAATGTCCCTCCTGCCCTGGGTGCTCATTTCCTTCCTGGACGTCTTTAGTGTCCCGGAGGACAGCTGTCATCACCATTTTCCTTTTCAAACCTGCAAGAAATGGGTGTTTATTTCCCTTCTCTTATATAATCTTGACCCAATGCTGTTTTGCACTGTTCTGTGGAGAAGCCTGAGATTTCACTATGGTCCTGTAAATCTGCATTTCTGCCCCAAGGATCCCACACCAGTATAGGCCACAGAGCCAAGCCTCTTGCTACAGCCGCTCTGGGTTGAGTTAGTCCCTCATCCCAGTGACACCAGCTTTTGCCAACGTGCTCTTGGGTTTCCCCCCACCCCCAGGTGACTCGCTGCATCATCGAGGTCCTCTCAAATGCCTTGTCGAAGTCCAACACTCCACCCATCACCCCAGAGTGTCGCCAGGTCCTGAAAAAGAGTAAGTGTCCCACACTGCAGGAGATCTTTGTCCCTCAAGTGATCCTTTCTCCCACTCCCTCCACTACACCTTCCACTTTACCTCCAAATGAAAGGGCGCAGGGGAGGGCATAATGTAATGGGAAGAGTGCAGACTAGACTAGGATCTGGGGAGATAGACGATAATGGCTTCTAGTCCCACTCTGCCACTTCATAGCTGTGTGGCCACGGGGAAGGACCTCTTGCCTTTCTGCGCTTGTTTTCTCAAAGTAAAATGAGGGAGTTGGACTCAATGACAGCCTTTGAGATAGCTATCAGTTCTTAAATTCCTTAGTTCCAGAGTTTGGATTTTTAGAACAGGCTTTCACTTGGGTGGAGGGAAGTGTGGGGAGTGCTCGTTTGTGATTAGGTTGCAGGAGTTAAGTGTTCTGGGAATGCTGGAAGATGAAAGGATAGGAGATCTTAAAATTACTCTTTGCCTTCTGCTCTTCTGACAGCGAGAAGTTAGAAGCTTGAAGGATGACTTGGAAACTTCTGGCCTCTTTACATGACAGATTATTCAGGCCATTGTATTTATTTATTAAAGATTTTATTTATTTACTTGACAGAGAGAGAGACACAGCGAGAGCAGGAACATATGCAGGGGGCGTGGGAGAGGGAGAAGCAGGCTTCTTGCCGAGCAGGGAGACCGATGCGGGGGCTCGATTCCCAGGACTCTGGGATCATGACCTGAGCCGAAGGCAGACGCTTAACAACAGAGCCCCCCAGGCGCCCCTGTTCAGGCCATTTTAATTTAGAGCTGATTAGAATGGGAGGTACTACCAAATGGTGGAGAACAGGAAGGGGGAGGGTACAAGAGGAGCAGCCGGTGAGTCAGAGCAGTGACCTTCTGAATCTAAAGTGGGATGTGTTCTCTATACAATCAACTTCTGTTGAAGATAAAATTTGAACAGAAATGCAAGCAATATCCACTGGGAGTTGACATTGAAAGATCAGTTTTTCCAAAAACTATGCCGTCTCTCTTATGCATGAAGTTAACCTGATTCAGTCAAATCCAAAAACCACTGTTCTCTTCAACAACTTCTCTGCTTTTAAAATTTTTAGTTAGGCTGGGAATAGTGGATTTGTTTTTCCTGTCACCTCCAAAATCTCCCATTGCAAGATAATACTCTCTTGCTATTGCCGCACATGAGCCCTCATGCATAAAATGGTAAAAACAAGTATTGGCAATTGACCAAAAGAGTAACCTGGCAGGACTCAATCCACCGTTGGGGGCTTCAGGGTAATCACAGATGTGGGGACCTGAGCCTCTACAGGCCCCATGAACAGTGGGAGGAAGCTTCCCTACCAATCCCAGCATACATATGTCTTTCTGAATTTCTCCCCAAATTTCTTTTCCAGCCATTACAGGGAATAAATACAGACAGAATGAGTCTTCAGGCAGAAACTAAAGGCAGCTCCTCTGGGCAAACCTGTCTCACTATCTCCCTTCCCCTTCCCTCGTTTACTGGATGGATGGAGAAGTGTGGGGTCTGCCATACTAGGTCATCAAAGAACTGTGATTGCTTAGGAAGAGCTGTTGATGTAGGGCTCTGCTTGCCTGCCAAGATCAGACTCAGCCTTTAGGTTGTGGCCATAGTGATTCTAGCCTCTGCTTAACACAGACTGTGCCTTGGGGTCTTTTGATGTCTGTTGAGAGAGACCCAGGGAAACTGGTTAAAATCAAATGACTCTTGTCTCTCAGGAAGGACCCTGGTGACACTCTACCCAGAGAACTATACAATGCTGAGATCAGGAGGGTTTAAGAGATCCTTCTGGTTGCAGACTCAGCAGCCAAGGCCCAGACAGACAGCATAGGGCGTGAGGCAGGTAAGAAGTGACTCACAAACTGGAGGATACATGTCCCTTGGGGGGGGGGGGGGGCAGATATTTCTCACTTCCAACCCTACTGGTGGAGAAATACAGACTTTGTTATCAGATTTGGATTTTTCAAAAGAAGTTAAAATTTGGATTTGTAAGCAACATCCCCTGGTATTTAAGTATTGCCTCAATTTGAAATGACTAAAAATGCTATTGAGGCCAACCAGAACTCACCTCTGGGTTACCATTTTGTGGCTTCTGCTCAATTCTAGTTTTCTCTCCTGCGGATGTGTCTTAAACTGATCAGAAGACTGGTGGAGCTTTTCAGCCAGCTGGATGGATGAAATCTCCCTCCTGCCCCTAGCCCATCTCCATTTCCACTCCCCATTCTGTGCAGTGTCTGTGGAGCAAGCACACACTTGTTGAGTGAATGAGCACTTAGGGGAATAGAGGAGAATCATTGTTTTATAGCTTGAAGAGACCTTAGGGAATACATAGCCCAGCTTCTTAATAGATAAAAGAATCTGTTTGTCCAGGTTAATCTGGTCATCCTTGCAACAGAGACTTAAGGATAGAAGGTACATTTCCCCCTTTTTTACTTGAAAGTAAGGATGAGCTTCACACCTTGGTTTATCAGATTGACAATGACTATGTGCTGCTAATCACAGTCCTCCTCTGATCTCACCTGCGGGGACTTAAAGCTAAATTTAGGAGGAAGTTCTAAGACTAAGGCACAAGCTGCTACAGGGAGCACAGACTTAACTGGGAAAAAATAAATATTCTGTTCCTGACCAGTAGGCAGTAGGAAAGGGGTGACACAGCCCCCACCCTGGAAAGCTGAGATCTTGTCTGATTAGGGCTATGTCAACTCACTCTCAGAATGATGTCAGTATCCGCCCAAAGCCTCCTTGCTCACCTGTGCCTACCTGGACGGCCCCACCTGCTTCAATACTGCACTGGCTCTTAAAAGACAAAATCATTGGGGAGGGACTGGCTCTCAGGTGTCTCGGTATGAAAGGTCAGAGACATTTCAGTTGATTCACAAAACATGACGATGTTATCATGCCAGGCTACACTTTAAGGAGAGAGGTACCGACCATCCACTATTTTATGGACATTTTTACAATGACCAATTTTTTTCATTTTGCAAATGTTCAGTTCAAAATGACTCATCAGTGCCATTCAGTAGAAATATATTGTGAACCACAAATATAACTTCAAATTTCTTAGTGGCCACATTAAAAAAGTAAAAAGAGAGAGGAGAAATTAATTTTAATATATTTTATTTTTATTCAGTGTATTTTATTCAATATATACTATTTACACATCCAATAGATTTATTTATGTATTTATTTATAAAGTTTATCTTTTTTTTTTAAGTAATCTCTACATCCAATGTGGGGCTTGAACTCACAACCCCAAGATCAAGAGTCGCATGCTCCTCTGACTGAGCCAGTCACGTGCCCCCACACCCAAAATATTTATAATATATATTATCCATTACACCCAAAATATTTCAATATATAATCAATATGAAAAATTGAGATATTTTGCATTTTTTTTTCATACAAAGTCTTCAAAATCTGGTGGGTATCTTAGACTTATAGCTCATCTCAGTTTGGACCAGCCACATTTCAAGTGGCTCCCACAACAGACAGTGCAGATCTGGACTCAGAGCTATGAGAGGCCTTGGCTTCAGGAATTCTATCTGAACTCAGTGACGTAAGTTGAAATCCAAGCCCTTCCAGCTAACAATCAGACAATGCTAGCTGCATATCTCCTTTCATGAAATGCCCTTGAATTAAGGAGGATTTAGTAAAGGAGCTATTGACATTTGGAAAAGATAGGAGAGGACACATTCAATTAAAATATCAGTTATACCATTTACTGTTGACTAATGAAACACAAAAATAACTCAGTATACTGATCTTCATCTTCAACATCTGAGGATATGTTGGGCAGATGGGATCTGAGTGATGGAAGAAATGGTTCTTTCTACTGCTGGGCAGTTTTCTCAGGGAAGAAATATACACCCTTCTTATCACTGGCTACTAAGTTGTATTGTCACTTATTGCTACATTGAGTCTACACAGCTGACTGGATTAAAAAGGCTGATAAACTAATAATTTAAAATTTTAAATCCTCCTTTGAATCCTGATACTTCCCATTTTGGCTATTTAACTTTATTTAGCTGGATTCTAGTTAGAGGTATTTACATAATGCTAATTTTTTAATCCTTACTTAGAGCAAATGTGGAAAGAAGGGTCCCTAATTGTACCTCTCTGAGTCTCAATGTCTTTGCAAAAAGGGGAGATTGAATTAGATGAATTCTAAGGTTTCTTCTGGTTCTAAATTCCAGCATTTCACAAATCTCTATTTGGATTTTAATTTGATCATTAATAGTACCAATGAGAGGGGCATCTGGGTGGCTCAGTCGGTTAAGCATCTGCCTTCGGCTCAGGTCATGATCCCAGGGTCCTGGGATCGAGCCCCACTTCGGGCTCTCTGCTCAGCGGGGAGTCTGCTTCTCCCTCTCCCTTTGCCCCTCCCCCCTGCTGTGCGCTCTCTCATTCTCTCTCTCAAATAAATAAAATCTTTAAAAGAAAATAGTACCAATGAGAAATGCTGGCTGGGTGTTATGAAAAAAGTAAAAATAGAGTTTTTTATTAGAGTTAAACACAGCCAAGGAGCTTTCATACCATTTTCTTTTAAAAGGAATCTGAGTATACTTTTTATTAACTTAAAAAATTATCCAAGTAATTTTTCGGGTCCTTTGGTTTTGTTGTATCACTGAGGCTGGTGCTTGTTGAACCCCAAGCAATTCTGAAGTTACACTTATGCTTCTTTATTTCCATTATAGGTAGAAAAGAGGTCAAAGATGAAGAGAAAAGTGAAAATGAAAACACACGGTTTGAAGTAAGATTAAGAGACCCAGCTGATGCCTCCGAAGCCCACAGGCCTTCTGGTAGGGAGGAAGTCCCAGGAGAGGAGGACACCCAAGGCCCGACAGTGGCAGACACAGAGGGAGGGGGGCACAGCCGAGAAGGAGCAAGCGAACCCCAAGGAGACCTCTACTCCTCTGACAGCCAAGTCTCCAAAGAAGCAAAGACACGCCATTTTGAGAAAACCGAGGAAGAGGACAGGAAGGAAGAGGAGGGGGAGAAATATCAGAAAAGGGAGCGTGGGAGAGATGGCAGTGAAGAGAAAAACCTGGAAGAGCTAGAAGAGACACAAAATGCCTTTCTCAACAAAAGAAACCAGGCTACAGCTAAGAAAAAAGAGGAGTTAAAGGCCAGTTATGGTCTGCACTCTGCTGGGCCCCCCCAGGAGAAGACACACAGCCGGGAGAGGAGCAGCCAGGAGAGTGGAGAGGATATAAGAAGCCAGGAGAAACACGCTCAAGAGTCTAAAAGCCAAGTTGGGAGTCAGGAAGAATCTGAGGAAAGTGAGGAAGATGCTGACCGTGAGGTGGACAAACGACGTTGGAAGCCAAGACACCACCATGGGAGGACCAGGCCAGACAGGTCCTCTCAAGAAGGGAAGCCTCCCTCTGAGGAAAGGGGACACCTCCGTGAGGAATCTGAGGAGTCAAATGTGGGCATGGTCGGTTTAGGGGAAAAGAGGGACCACCATACAGCCCACTATAGGGCTTCAGAGGAAGAACCCGAATATGGGGAAGAAGTGAGGAGTTACCAGGCTGTCCAGGCTCCCAAGGACCTGGAGCAGGGACGATATGGGGGCAGAGGAAGTGAGGAGTACAGGGCTCCGAGACCTCCCAGTGAGGAGAGCTGGGAGGAGGACAAGAGAAATCGCCCCAGCTCAGAGCTTGACAACACAGCACAGGGATATAATGAAGAAAGTGAGGAAGAGAGGGGCCATGAAGGGGGGTACCACCACAGAGCCAGGGGAGGGAAACCAGGTGCATATTCCATTCTAGACAACAAAGAAGAAAAACAGTTCTTGGGTGAAGGACACCACCGTGTCCAAGAAAGCCAGATGGACAAGGCAAGGAGGCACTCACAAGGTGAGTGGAAAGAGGACAGAAATTACCTCAACTATGGTGAGGAAAGGGGTGAGGAAGAAGCCCCAGGGAAGTGGCAGCAGCAGGAGGACCTGGAAGATGCTACAGAGAGCAGGGAGGAAGCCAGGCTTCAAGGCAAACAGTATGCTCCCCATTACACCACTGACAAGAGGAAGAGATTAGGGGAGCTGCTCAACCCATACTATGACCCTTCCCAGTGGAAGAGCAGCCATTTTGAGAGAAAAGACAACATGGATGACAATTTTCTTGAGGGGGAAGAGGAAAATGGGCTGACCTTGAATGAGAAGAATTTCTTCCCAGAATATAACTATGACTTGTGGGAGAAAAAGCCCCTCGAGGAGGATGTGAATTGGGGATATGAGAAGAGAAATCTCTCCCCCAAACTGGATCTGAAAAGGCAGTATGACCGAGTGGCTGAACTAGACCAGCTCCTTCACTACAGGAAGAAGTCAGCCGAATTTCCAGACTTCTATGACTCTGAGGAGCAGATGAGCCCACGCCATGCAGCAGAGAATGAAAAGGACAGGGCTGGCCAGGGAGTTCTGACAGAGGAAGAGGTAGAGTGTGGGGCTTTTGTTGAAAATTAAGATGGTCAATGTTAATATCTTCAAGACTCTCTGAAAGTAATGTGGAGAAACTGGTGGGAATTAATTGCCATGAGGATGTACCCCCAGTAAGAGCGTGGCGACAACCTCTGGGTTTCTGTTGTCCATAACCTTGCCCACTTACCCTACTGCAGTGCTTCTCAACCTCGGCTGTATGTTGGAATCACCTGGAGGGCTTGAGTATTTACTGACGTTTGGGATTCACCCCCAGGGATTCTGTCTATTTGGTGCTGGGTGCTACTTGGGCATCAGGATTTTTCCAAGCTTCCATGTGGTTTCAGTGTTCAGCCAAGGCTGACAACCCCTCTTTTGGTGTCTTCTTGGTCATTTAACTTTTCATCGCTATTTCCCAGGGTAAGAAGGAACAGATGATATAGAAATTAGTTGCTTTAATCGATCCTTATCAGCTACTGGACTATAAAAATTAGTTTACATCTCAGATAGTTAACATTATCAGAACCGTACCTGCCTAAACAATGATTTTTTTCCTGATACTGAATTATGTTGGTTGGTGTTTCTCAAACTGGAATGTGTGTCAGAATCTCAAGAGATTCCTAGCCTTCAGAGTTTCTGATTGAGTAGGTCCTGGGTGGGGCCCAAGAATCTGCATTTCTGGTAAGTTCCTTGGTGATGCTGATGCTTCTGGTCAGGGGACCACGCTTTGAGAACCACTGATGTAGGGTGTCTCATATGGCCTC